CCGCCCCAAACACTTAAAAACTTGTGTCCTGCTCCTTCTGTCATGACCCACTGCTCCTCAGCTCATTGTTGCTAGGATTTCATCTGTTCCTCAGCATCTCCTTTCCCACTCAAAGGCACATGTCAAAGGAGTAAAGAATTGCTAGAAGATCATCACCTAATGTTGCTGCAATGAACTGCAACATGTGTATTCTTGAAGCAATTACAATACAGGCACATGGGGTTCTTATTAGCCCACCCATTCAACTGACTGTGGATGGGTGGATTTTGAGCCCTACAGTTAACCAACTCTCTCACTTGCACACACATTTTACATAAACTGAGTATTTGCACATGCAAATGGAGAGAGAGTTGCATTTATATATGCAGTTACCTGAATGTAATGCATAATTTTGTGCACAATTTTGCCAAGCTTACTGTGCACTTAACTTGTTTTAAAATCTGGTCCCAAATGTGTGTAATGGCAAGTCATACTGGATGGTTTTCTTTTTTAAAGGCAGATAGTTACTAGGGTACATTCTCCCATTTACTTTTATGTGTGTTGTGTCCTCTTATTTTATGTCCTCTATTTGACTCAGAGCAGGTGCAGCAGGGAGCGTGGCAATGCCAGCTTCCTCTCATGCTGCCCTGCCAATGTGTCGTGGCAGTTCCATCATCTGCGTCTCTGGTGAGGTTTCCAACAAGGGGGCCAACAGTTACGATTGGGCACTTGTCCATTAGGAAGTGGACTGAGAGCATCAGCTAAACAGCCGTTGGATAGTAATGATTTTCACTCACAACTGACCTCGGATGAAGGTGAACTCTAAATCTGTAGGGGAAAGCCTGTATTTCATTCATTATATATCCCACAAATTTCCATAGACACGGTAGGCCACCATGACTTCCAAGAGAGTCACTGAAATATATAATGGCTCATGAACCCCTTTGATTAAATCCCCGCAGAATGACTCAGAGGTTCTCATGATGGTCTGTTGTGTCAGCAGGGATCACTGACATTTTTATGGGCCTAAAAGAGAAACTACAGTCACATTCAGAGAGCTATCACAATTCTATTGTCTCACTGTAACAGTGAACACCTTTCAAATAGAAAAAATGGTCTGATTCTTTCTTATTGAAAATACCTCCAGCTAACACTTCTCAGGCAATTAATCAGAAACAGCCATATTGCAGTATTGTCAAAGGTCTAACCAACACCCACCAAAAATAGGAAATTCAAAACTCTCCTGCTCACCTCATGCTGTTGTGCTTAAGGTATTGCTGGGGTCTAACAAACAGTGCCTGCTCTTCTATACTGTACCATATGTGCACAAATATCAAAGCACAGCAGCATGAATTAAGGATAGGATTTCAGCCTTCATTATGAAGTATCTTGCTCTTATGAGAACAAGGTCAAACCCTTAGAATTATTTTAGCATAGATTTTGGTGTTTAATTATGTAATAAGATTTACTGCAGTCATCTAACAGATGTTGATTCAGGGTCAGTGTTTCTCATAAATTAGTTCTGAAAGGATTTGTTACTTCTGGGTCAGCAAATACATCCAGAGTGCAAAGGAAAAGAGGGAAAACAAACACTGAGTTGAAGGGTTTCTTGGGATTCTTTCTTCAGTTACATATCCACATATTTTCATGGTTTTAATGACTATATAGCCATAGGAATGTTTCTCTTAACACTAGAGATGGCCCAAACCAAAACCCTATATCCAAACATCCCCAAAGTCTGGGAAAGTTCAAAGTTTGGGGATCTTAACTTCATGACTCTGGGCCATTGATTTTTCATAGTAGTGGGATGTAATTATCATACGACTCAACAATGGAGCTTACTGAAATGCGTGCTTTAGTTGCAGTCATAAGAATTTTCCTTTTCATATGTACCCAGTGGGTCAGGCATCAAACAGCGATTTTTGCATCCAAATGTAGGGTACGAGATGTCCCAGGCTTTGAACAGCTGTGTGCCTCAAACATTCAGGACAAGCTTGCTCTGGGCAGAGAAAGTAAGTAGCCCGCTGCTCACTGTGTGAGAGATCACCCTGACCCCCAAACCCAATTCACAGAGGATAGTTGTTTGTTATAGCCCCTAGCTACAGATCCTGGCTCTTTAGCTCAAGTTGTAGAGGCCAATACTTTCAGATCCAGACTCTCCAATTCACTCTCTGAAGTGTTGGCTAAGATGGTGACCATCACACATGCATATTCAAAAGGTGCATATGTGAGATGTATAGCACTCATACTTAAAAACACCCATTGCATCTTCCTTTGAAAATTCATCCATAAGTGTTTTTGGAAGTAGGTATATCTGTATATCCTGCTGTTGGAACTCTCTGAAAGACACCCTACCACCAGTGAGGTTATCCAGAAATATAATTAAAAACACCCAATATAATATCAGTGACTCAATAGTTGTGGGTACAGGATCCATTCTGTTCTAACATCTCTCTCTCTCTCTCTCTCACTCTTTTTTTTTTTTTTAAACTCCCTTATAATTTATGCACAAATTCCTTTGGGGCTCAAATGATACTCTGCCAATTTAATAGTGAACTTTATTTTGCTGGGAATAGTTTCGAGGAAACCAGACAAGGCATTTTTAATAATCTTGTACTTAGCACTCATGTGGCACTTTTCATCTTCAAAGAGTTTTAGATCGTTAATGAATTCTCACACCACACCCCGTGTTCAGATATAGGGAGAGTAAGTGACCTATATAAGGCTACATTGGGCGTCAGCAGCAGAGATAGGATTAGAATGAATGGTTTTGGAGCAATAATTGTGTTCATTCAATGCATGCTTAGAATGCCCAACATGCTAAAGCATTTACTGAAATTGATTGCCTCTATCTTGGAGAGGTTAGAGGGAGTGAGGGGTAGATACATAAAAGCCTGCATTAAGATGAATCCCAATTATTACTGTCAACTGTAATGGTGTGTCCCTTAAAGGCTACCATACAGCCGTAAATTGAGAACCACAAAATAGTTAGTAGATATAATGTATGAGTTGAAGAGCAATGTTAAGCCAACTGTAAAATAGTATTGGACCCACTTCTGTGGATGTGGTTGGATTTACTATTTGATTCCAGAAGACTATCCACAGTCCATTCCACTGCAAAGGAGTGCCTCACTGGTGCTTCATCAGTAACTGTAATATTATTAAACATATGTACAATATAGCACTGTAAATTTAAATAGCACTTTATACACTGATGACTGGATCTCTCACTTTGGTGTAAATCAGGAATAATTCAGTTGAAGTCAATAGATTTACATCAGTGTAAAAACTGCTGTCAGGAAAGAATCAGGCCCATAGAAAAAGACCATCATTGCCAAGAAAATCTTAAAGTTAAATTACCTGAGTTGTGTGTTTAGAAGCAGTGAAGTCTAGTGGACAGAGCACTGGACTAATACCTAGGAGACCCTGGTTCTAATCTCAGCTCTCCCACTGACATGCTCTGTGAGCTTTGGCAAGTCACTTCATCTCCTTGTGCCTGTTTCATAGAATATCAGGGTTGGACGGGACCTCAGGAGGTCATCTAGTCCAACCCCCTGCTCAAAGCAGGACCAATCCCCAGACAGATTTTTGCCCCAGATCCCTAAATGGCCCCCTCAAAGATTGAACTCACAACCATGGGTTTAGCAGGCCAGTGCTCAAACCACTGAGCTATCCCTCCCCCTTTCCCCAACCTTGGACTATCTTGTCTATTTAGATTTAAGTTCTTCAGAATACGGACTGCCTCTTACCCTGTTTGAAGTGGAGCCCTTCTTTCAGTCAGAACCTCTAGACATCACCTTACTACAAATAATAAATATTTGCCATTACTATTGTTATATCAGACACAGTGTACATTGTAAGGGAATATTAGCTGTGGTCCTATGTACGATGTACCAAGTTGGACCTAAGTTCTGCAGAAAGGCTCCTGCTTTTATTCTCTAGTGGCGAGTTCTTCAGCAGCCCCAAGTACAGTAAAAGAAAAGAAAAAAAAAGACTTTTAGTGCATTAATTGTGAAAATTAATGATAAAATAGGCACACTGCACACATTTTGAAATTAAATTCACTTTATGCTGCCCTCACATATTCAGTCTGCAATGTGCCACACATTACAAACCCCTAATTGCAATGTAAGAGCTGCTGCAAGGAAGCTAGAAGTTTTGACAGTGAAGTAGTGCGAAATGGGGCATTTGACATCCAGGATGGCTGGGAGGTAATTTGCATTATTGGCACTCCAGAGGCAGAGGTTTTACCACAGGGAAGGGGCCAGGTCTCCTCTTTTCCTCCCCTTTGCTGGCCGAGATGGAGGTGACTTAAAAGACTTGTTGGGGGGAGAAGCCTGAAATCTTTACACTTCAGAGTTAACACCCTGATGATGAATTTGATGCTTTACACATCTCAAAAGCTATTGTCACAGGGTGTCAATTTGCAGACTTAGGAAGGTACTCACATTGAAGGGTTTTTGTCACAGCCTTTAGGGCTAGAATTGATTACAAATGAAAGCTTAAGACATTGTGGAACAGAATTCAGTAACTTCATTGATTCCGTAACAAATTCCACTGGCACAGAACATTGGGTACTAGCATGAGAAAGGTTGTAAGAACTGGATCATCTTCTGCTGGGATTTCCAGAAGTACTCAGTTCTGGTCTGACTCTGTTCCCATTGTTTCAACAGCCAGTGCTTCTGAAAAATCCCACCCTTCACTTTTAGATCCTTCACACTGCCGCTTGTCCATTGGTAGTGGCAAATGCCCAGAAAGAGTTATCAAGCAGCGCTCTGCCAAAAATCATTACAAGACAAAAGTCAGCATCACTCAATGCACTGCCTGATGACAACTGTTTCAGAGACAACGCAATCACTAGTTTCATATTGCACGTGTACTAAAACTAGTAAGAAATTTAACAGCAGAATGCAGTGAGGGAGTTAAATATTCATGCCTTCCTCTGATGGGGCTACTTGCAAGCTACTTGATAGAGAAACTAACCAAAAGCTGGTGGCTAATAGACTGTTTTTCTGTTTCAGTGGAGCATGACAGAGAGTTCCATCATCAACGCTATCACCATCGGGAGTTCAGGTTTGATCTCTCCAGAATCCCAGAGGGGGAAGCAGTGACTGCTGCCGAGTTCAGGATATATAAGGATTACATCCGAGAACGGTTTGATAATGAAACATTCCAGATAAGTGTCTACCAGGTACTGCAGGAGCACCCAGGAAGGTGAGTGACTGGAAAAGAGCATACTGAGTATATTGTATAACTGTCAGTGAAAATACAGGGCTAGGTTCTATTGCTCCTAGTTAATATAGGGTTGCCAACTTTCTAATCGTACAAAACCGAACACCTTGCCCCTCCCCTTCCCCGAGGCCTTGCCCCCCCACTCACTCCAGCCCCCCTCCTTCCATCGCTCACTCTCCCCCACCCTCACTCACTTTCACTGGGCAGAGCTGGGGGACTGGAGTGTGGAAAGGGGTAAGGGCTCCAGCCGGGGGTGTGGGCTCCACGATGGGGCCAGAAATGAGGGGCTCAGGGTGCAGGAGAGGGCTCATGGCTGGGGTTGAAAGTTCGGGTGTGGGAGGGGGGAAGGGGTCTGGGAGGGAATTAGGGTGCGGGAGGGGGTTCCAACCTGGGGTAGGGGGTTCGGGGTACAGGTTTAGACTGGGCAGCGCTTACCTCAGGTGACTCCTGGTTGGCGGCACAGCAGGCCTCAGGCAGGATCCCTGCCTGCCCTGGCTCCGCACTGCTCCTGGAAGCTGCCAGCATGTCCGGCCCCGTGGCTAGAGGCAAGGCCAGGTGACTCTACGCGGTGCTGGCTGCCTGTGCCCCGCCCCCGCAGCTCCCATTGTCAGCGGTTCACGGCCGATGGGAGCTGTGGAGCCAGCGTTGGGCAGCATGCAGAGCTTCCCTGATCACCCCTGCGCCTAGGAGCTCGACATGCCGGCCACTTCTGGGGAGCTGTGCAGCAGAGCCAGGGCAGGCCAGGAGCCTGCCTTAGCCCCGCAGCGCCACCGACTGGACTTTAAACGGCCTGGTCAGCGGTGCTGACTGGAGCTGCCAGGGTCCCTTTTCGACCGGGTATTCTGGTCAAAAACCAGATGCCTAGCAACCCTAAATTAATACCAGTGTAAATCCAGATTCAGTGAAGTAACTCTGGATTAATATAGTGAGGTAACCATGAGCAGAATTTGGTTCCTTTAGGAAGTAAGTAAGTATAGTTTGTTCCATTTTAGAGATTGGAAGTGCCAGAGCTTCAGAAAAAGTATATTTATATAATTTTATAGTTTGGTTTAGAGATCATTCATTATGCTTGAATGCCAACAAATCTTAATGGTCTACAGCCTGACACCACTCAGTACTCTGTTAATCCTTTGATTGCCATGTGTGGTACCTACTCAGAGGTTATAAAGCTTCCTGTGGTGACATTAATTGCAGTGTGAAAATTCGGTAGAATGTAAGTACAGCATATCCCTTCAGGAAGTTCTTGCCATGTCTGGACTGTCCACTAGCCATGGAGCAGTAAAGCAGAGATGGGAGAGAGGCACTGCATGTATGTGTCTGTACTGGGAGGGGAAGGCCGGAGGAGAGAAATTGGATCATAGACAAAGTATTGTAAAATTTTAGAAAGAACTGCCCTCTTCCTCCTGCTGCTTATGGATTCTGGGATGGCAAAACCCACATCTGAATACTTCCTCTCTAACCCTAGGGTATCTTATTTACTAATCTTTATTACAAGAGTCATTTGAGATCCCTAATTAACACAGACAGATGACACCATGCTCTTCATATCAACTGATTGGTTTTGTGTGCACAAAACTAGAAAATGAGCTATTTAATCCATATCAAGCAATTATTAATTTACGCCATGCTCCCTGACAAATTCTTCAGGAAACTTGAACAAGAACACATGTTTAATTTTCTCATCTGTTTTTAGTCCCAATTAATCAGCAACCTCAAAACCATTTATCGGTAACACTTAGTCAGATGCATTTGCACATGTCTCGTTTACACATGAATCCCATTGACAGTAGCAAAATCCTTCCTGCAGTTATGCACATAAAGTGCTTCACAAATATTGGTCAGAAAGTTATTCTCCACAACAACTTAACATGTACCAATAACATTACACGTACCTGAAATAGAGCTATTACACAGCCAAACAACAGATCTCAAAACAAGATGAACAAAAAAATAGTCCAGTGAGAATGCTTGCTTTGTATTTAACTATTTATTGCAGATGGTCAAAAATTCAGGGGAAAATAAAACAAAGAAATTTGCTGTCTAAGTAAATGTTCATTTCAAATTTATTCTACACACAAAAGTTCTTTCAAATTCTTGCTTGCAATGTACAAACCCAAAAGTTGGAGGATATGTTTATTGCCCCAATTCTGGTTACCCTACTCAGTCACACAAGACTTGAAGAATGGCATCTCCAAAGGTTCTTTGCGACTAACTTTGCAGAGGGGTGTAACTAGACGTGACCATGTGAATTGGGGATGGTTCACATGTACATGCATTTACCCATATGCAGCTAGTTGGACTGAGCAATGGTTCTTGCAAACCATCCCTTGCACAAGTTATTCTTACTCCTATAAGCAAAGTATGTGAGAGAGTGGATGCACTGCCTATATATGAATCCATTAGGTCGGGAAGATGTGTTTGGGAAGAAAAGTATCGGGGGTAGCCGTGTTAGTCTGTATCTACAAAAACAACAAGGAGTCTGGTGGCACCTTAAAGACTAACAAATTTATTTGGGCATAAGCTTTCGTGGGTAAAAACCTCACTTCTTCAGATGCATAGAGTGAAAGTTAGATGATCTTGTGATTAGCACATGCCACTACTGTAATACATAAGCTACAGTACATAAGATGAGCAGGCACACTGGGGTACCCACTCTCTCCAGGGGTTTTGTGAGGATTAAGGGTGATGATCGATGGCTAAACTCAGTCCAGGTGAAAGTGGGTGCATCTCCATGGAAGTCAAGAGAACATGCCTACTTAGAACGGGATGGAAATTGGCTTTAGATGTTTTGAAAAGCACTGTTTTGTACATCTTTTTGGAGGCAGATTTGTAAGTACAGTACATGTACGCATCTGAGCTGGAAATTCTACATTCCAGGTCCCATTTTCTCATGTTGCTCACAGGGCTGATGATCTGCAGCTTGGGCTTTCTCTTTTATCTCCTGTTGCAACAAGATCAGCTTTTTTTAGCCACAGTCGATATGCATGGAGGACATGTGACTGACATGGGTAGCTGTGAGATCTGTTTTTCTAGCTGAACATCTGGCTCTTTAGCTAGTATTTACAAGGGCGCCATAAAAATCTTTGGGATACTTGAGACATAGGCAGCCGTGGATCTTGAACTGTCTGTTTCTGCTGGAGAGCATTTCCTGTTGACTTTTCTTGAGTAGAGGTGGCCAAAAAACCACAAATATTTTCACAAAAATTGGTGAAAATGTTTTCTCTGCTTTGCATTGAAATTATATTTCAGCTAAAGTTTTCCAACCAGCTCTGTTTATGACCCTCCAATCAGATTAAAGCTGTATAAACAGTCCAGGCTATCAGGTTATTGTGTCTCAGGGCAGGTGGAGAGAGAAAGCAAACTCTCTCCAATGTTGACCTATAAACACTTACACCTTTTTTCCTTGGTTGTTTGTTTACGTTTTTCTAACCAGGTTAGAGGACTCTACCAGTCTAATGTAATTAGCATAAAAAAACCCTAAGAAAATCTAGACATATAAGCAAAGGTTCTTTTACTGAGAGCACAACAAGTACAGTGTCCTTTTAAAGTTAAACACAAAGATGAACTGGCCTTTTTCTCTTCTAATACTGCTGGAGTCTCCATAATGCCAACTTGACCATTACATAAGAATGTGAGTGTGAATGAGAAGGGCCATCTAACAGCAGATTCTCCAGGATTGTTCCTCTTATGACTTGCCTCGTGTTTACTAGTGCACAGGAGCTCACCTCCGTACTATACAGAATCTACAGTGGTTCTCAACCTGTGGCTCGCGGTCCGCTTGCGGCCTAATCAGCACAGAGCTGCGGCCCATGTGACATCCTCAGGGCCATAGAGGTACTATTGGATGCAGCCTACATAACACATTGTGGGCCATATATAGGTTGAGAACCATTGGCCTACAGCATCCTGTCACCTTTCTAATACAGTGGAATGACACCAGTTCAACTATCAAAGAAGCCTCCACAGCTGCAGAAACAGGATTTACCCCAAAGACCTGGGTTGAGGCCCCATAAACATTTCTCCTTTGAAGAGTACTGTATGTATGCCAAAGGCTTGGTTTTCATCTATGACCCAACATCCATTTTTATGGATGCAGTTTTTCACCCTGTATTTGTTCACCCACAATGCAGATTAATCATAAGAATGGCATTACTGGGTCAGACCAATGGTTCATCTAGCCCAGAATCCCATCTTCTGACAGTGGCCAATGTCAGATACTTCAGAGGGAATGAACAGAACAGGGCAATTATTGAGTGATCCATCCCCTGTCATTCTGTGCCAGCATCTAGCAGTCAGAGACTTAAGGACACCCAGAGCGTGGGTAAATACTAGTAGTTGAGCAATTAATTACCTGCTTTGTAAGCTCAGACAGGTTGATAGATATCTAGTTAGTAATATTTGTACTTTTACTTCATTGTGGGTGCAAAATAAAGGCACAGTTCTTTCTGGCCAGACATATCTGCATCCACAAACTAGAACCCATATCTGAAATTCTAGGCCTCCATAATATTATTAACTTTGAATGTACTATACACTGTATAATGTGCATAAAGCAACCGTATCAGTGAAAATGAGATCACAGCTATATTCTTTGAATGAAGGCTGGATGCCTTTCTGGAAGTTATGCTTTAGCCAAACATAAGTTATGATTTAGTAAAACACAAGTTATTGGGCTCAAGACAGAGGTAACTGGGTGAAATTTAATGACCTGTGATATACAGGAGGTCAGATTGGATGATCTAATGGTCCCTTCTGGCCTTAAACTCTATGAATCTAATAATTCATTGCAAGTTGCAGTTTCAATGTTGGCACAATTCCTTCTACAAAAGTATATAAAATGTTCTTCAGTCTCAAAACATCAGGCACTACCCTGAAGCAATGTCTTGAATTTCATAAACACTGTGAAAGCAGTTGACCCTTTGACTGATATAACAATGTCTCACAGTTTCCTTGGGCATAATTTAGTGTCCAGTGATTCGTGT